GAGCATGACGAAGATGTATCCGATGTAGTTGTGGAAGATTTTTCACTAGTTGATGTTGCTGATGAGTCAGACAGGGAACGTCTAAGTGGGTAGTCCCATAGCGAACGAATAGGATCGCATTCTGCACAAAAGCATACACCGTAGGAGGCATGTTGGGATTTTTTGTTTTTACTCAAGCATAACGGTTTTGGATTTGCCTCGGAATTGTGCAAATGCTGTATTGTATCATTAGCTGTGCGAACGCCTTTGTTTAGGGACATATATGTCAAATTATTGTTATAAAAAGTTAAAGCACTAAGTAAATTTTCTGTAGATTTGTGTAACTTTACATGTTGTGCTTCTATGGGTATTTGTGGTATATTTCGTTCTATGTCTGTCTCCAATTTTAAAAATACACCATTTGGCGGCTTACGATCCTTTTTGCGCCTCTTACGCGGTTTAATAATACGTGGCAAGCATGTTTCATTTAATTCCTTTGAGTCCGTGCAAGTTGATGACAGTGCAGTCTTCACAGAATCCTTTTGGGTATATGCAACAGTATCCTTGGGACGTGTGTTAATTGCAGCGGGTGCCGAATTTTGATAGCGTAGCAGACGTGATTTTTCTGGTTTATATAGTTGGCCGTATTGTTGCTGTGTAATGTTCTTATTGAGGTTTCCTCCTGAAGTAGAAGAGTTCCAATTTATGCAATTACCAGAATTACCAGAATTGTGCGTAATATGTTGTTGTTTTTGATGTTTATTTAATAGCAGTGGTAAGCCCTGAGCGTGCACCGCAAGCTGGGACATGCAGTTTCCATTATTGACATAAGACGTATTACTACCATGATGATTGAAGCTGTTGCTTTTGTATATGAGATTTGAATCGTTTATACTTTTCGTTTGTGTTGGTTGTGACCCGGGACGGGTTGTTTTTTTATAAATACGTTGTCTTTGCGAAGGTGTTAGATGTGAGGTGGAACTGGATATGAGTGGTATACCTGCACATTCGCTAATGCGTTGTTGATTAATAACATTTGGAGGTAATTTAGCATAATTATGGGTCAACTCATGTACTGAGTGTGCTGATTGTTGACGTTGAAACATATAATTATTGTTGCCAGGATGGAATATGTTTTCTTGAGAATGAGGATTGTGCGGATGATTAGAGTGTAAACTATGCGGTCGCGTAGGAAATTGTGAATGTGAAGGAATATAGCTTACTGGCTGCGGCGTTGTTGCCTGTAATGGTGCATATTTCGTTGGTTGACCATGGCATGGTGCAATATTTTTTGTTTGCTGTTGATGTGGTGAGTTATTAAAGCAACCATGTTGCGTCCAGCTTGGTGTTGGATGACAATTACCAAACTGCTGTGAAGGTTGCGGTTGCTGCAATATGTGTGCGTTCGGATATGATGTTAAATTTCTAATTGAATTCGTTGTGTTGTGTAAACTGTTGTCCAGTACGCAGTAACCAGTAACATTGGGTCTCATAATCCTTAATATACGCTGGCGGAATAAACTTGTCTAATGGCAGGTACATAACTCATAAGAAGTATTATGTCTAAATTAGTTTATTTATCAATCAATATTAAATAATTAACACACTTTTAAACCAAACTTAATATAAAATTTTTTAACTATTCACTATTCACTGTTCTTTGTTCATTTTTTTTTAAATTGCAAACATTTTTTCATACAATTTCTGCAGATATCGAGAGTAAAAATCCGGAGTTCGAAATCCAAAGTAATTAATATGTTAAGAAAACTTGCATTATTACCACAATTGTGAAACACTCAAAAAATATCGCGTACTATTTAATCGTACAGGTGTTGATTATAATTGCCAATTCGCATATTTTGTAAAATCTATTACAGAAATTAATAATTTTAACTTAATGTTTCAACTACGAAATCGTAATCTTTAGCCAATAATTCTTTCAGGTTCTTTAAAGCGTCGCGCTCGACTAAAGTAGAGTTTATAAGAGGAGAGGCAACGATCTAACGACGAATAATACGCGCGCGTCAATGTTGCCATTTACCGTTCACCACTGTAGACAACTGCTTTGAAGCCAGACTTGTTGCAGACTAAAAAATCAATTTTAGTTTAAGCCAAGCCAAGTACTGAGCTTGTGGTCTTACCAAATTACAATGTGGAAAAGAAGCAAGAAGAAAAAGAGCAAACAAGCATGAAACAAACGACATCGTAAGTGTTGTTTTTTGTCTGCCTGTCTGCACAAAAACTTACAAAGCTCAAAGTTCGGCTTAAATAACGAGCGAGAGCAAGGCGTTTTAATAAAAAGTCATAAAATATTTACACTCAACGTTCCAATCCATTTTGTAGAGAGTAATGTGGAAAAGGTAATTGCTCTCTGCAAGTCAAGAGACATACTATACAAAATTCATCCCAAATACTAGTAATCTAATCTGATTTTATTACAATCCATTTTATTAATTTACGTTAGATAAAATAAATAAATTAATCCAAAATTTTAGATTAGTAAGGAAAAAGTACTTCAGATCTACTTTTTTATTGTTGTAGCTCGCAAGAATTTGTTTGTGTAGTTCCTTTTGGGAGTGTAAAACGACATTTGGTCGTCGAACTCGACGAGAAGCTCCGGAACTTACACCCGTCCGGTCTTGGAAATACCTAATCTATCTATTAGACTATTTCATATTATTTTATAGATATGGGTTATTCGATATAGTGTATAAATGTTTTTAAAAAAACTTTGGAACGCTCAAAGAAAAAGATAAGAACACAACAAATTGTGCATTGTTTGAACATGCGGACCAAACCTTAAATACCTAATAAATTAATTTATTTGCTAGTTAAATAAAGCTCATTATTATTGTATAACTATTATGATCTTCACGATTCATATTTAAGGTTTCTTACGGAAGGAGTCTAGAGTGTGCAAACGAATAACGAAATAATAAAGCAATTTCTGTGATAATGTGAGAATTTCTGTTATAGTTTTGCTCTGAAAACAACAAACACACAGTAAAATCCGAGTTAATGAATATTAACTCGGTAAGTGTGAATTAAATATAATACACAATTTTTAAAACACACTGAATGATCTGTGAATAGCAAGCAAACGAATAGATTTAGAATGAGTGATTGATTGAATCTAAAAGCAAGTTTAATAACCATATTGAAAGACAAAATTGTTTGTCTTGTTTTTGTTCTTACTATTGTAGTGGCTATCATGCAACGTATAAGCAGCTATTTTATTGCAAACAACTAATACTTTTAAACTTGCTTAAAAATCGGAACCTAGAAACCCTACTAGATGAAGATTTGTAACAAACCCTTAAAGAACTTGTGATATCTATACTTTAAAGGCCATAAAAGGAACAAAAATCAAAGGATTTTTTGCATCTAACTACTTTTTATAACAAAGAGTAGATACATATACTCTGATAATACTTAACGTACAGTTTAACCGACTATAACACATTTATCGTACAAGTCGAGGTTTTGTAGTTACAACTTTTTGGACAAAAAAAAGAAAGAAATGGCAGAGAAAAAATGAAAGAAAAGAAATACCTGAAACCTTGCTGTATTGCTCTGAATTAAAATTTTAAAGTGGACATGTAAAATTCAGGTAGGAATAATTTTACATTCAAAGGTCTAAGATGGTTCTGAAGAATATTAATCTTTTGAAGCAAATTAAAACGCAATGATAAAGTATTTAAATCAAACTGAAGTAAGAGAGTTTCAACAAAATCAAAATCACAGACTTATTTATGTTTGAACAAAAACAATTTATAATCGCTTACTGATATTCATTTTTGTATTTTAAAAAAAAAAATATTTTAAAGCAACTTTTATGTTTATACATACAAAAATTGAATGTACAAGTAATTGTTACTAAGAATTTTTTTCAATAATATACAATGCAATCTGGAAAACGTAAATAACCCAAAAGGAATATAATTGACTTATTTAAATTACTAAAACTGAAAGATTTGTTAGCCCTGTACAATATTTGGTATTACAAAATACTTTATGTTACGAGTGTTAATTTCACTATATATTATAAGTTCAGTCATTGAAGAACCAAATTTGATCAGAATAACATTTCAACAATTTTTATCTTTATCATTAACTATTCAAATAAATATTTCTCAGTTATATTTTTATCGATGATGTTGCTTTAGATATTAAAAAAATAAAAACACATAGAAGAGTATAGTTTATATTGGATGCTGCCCAACCTGCCTTTAAGATACATTCGTTGGTTCCTGTTTTATATAATGCATATATCGACACCTATTGAAGACCACACAGATGCACAATCCACACAGTAACCAATAAGCACGCGTCTAACATATCCCAAGAAAACGTTGACATTCCGAAAACCGAATTATCGTAACTCAATTTAGTTCAGAATAAAGCCATGTATTAAATATATTTTTGTCACGCATTGATATTTCAATTCCAAATACATGCCCCAATTGCCGCTCTACATCCCATTATGTTGTTCTTCTGTTTTTCTGCCCAACGCACACACAAATTTCAGTGTATCGATCTGGCCTGATTCCTTTATTTTTATCCTGGTTGACTTCAATTTAAATCCGACCCATCTTCTATCCATTTTTACTCCTAAATAATCCCCCCCTTCTCACATTACCATTTCCTACATCCTAGCCCATGTATATTACTTGCTTTACAGCAAAGTTATGTAATAACTTTTTATATATTTAAAATATTTTAGTTATTTTATTCATTCTATAAATTAGGTTGATATAGACTTAGAGACGATTCAATTATGTAGGATACTATGGTACTGATTACCGAAAGTTACTACTGTTACTTAATATATAACTAAATGCTACAATTAGGGTGAGAACTGATTTCAAACGATTTGGGATCAATGACTGAGAAACCATTAGAGAACTAAATGGTTGCACTATTATAGACACAAAAATTTTTTGGATCACACTTTATGGTACATTTATACTGAGTGAGCGTTTTATAGTTTAGTATTTTTAGAAAATTGTATTTTAACTTACTTGATAAATTATCTAACATGTATGACAACAGCTTTTGGGTGCCATTTGGTTCATTGTAAATTGATAGAAACTCTTTTTGTAAGGGATTTCCTAAGAGTCCGAGATGAATTAAATGAAAAAGTTTACCTATTTCATATGGTAAAACTCTTAAAAAATTGTTATTGAGTAATAGTTCTCTGTAAAATGAAAAAATATAGATAAAATATCAGACATCAGATATTCAAGAGATTAGATTTCGTTCATTTACCTGAGTTGTATAAGTTCACCTAACTCAGCTGGCAGACTTCTTAATTTGTTACTAGATATATCTAAGGTCCGTAAATTAACTAGTAAACCTACATCGGCAGGTAATCGCAATAATTGGTTGTCATTAAGATAAAGAGCAGTTAGGTGATCAAATTCCCAAAGAGAAGGACTAATATTCCTCACAGAACCTTAAGAAAAAAAACAATATATCATTTATAAAATTACTTATATATTCACAGATTTCAATTTGTACCAGTTATTTCTATGCCCGTCCAATTTGATTTCTTACCAGCAGCTACATCTTCTGGACTCATAAAAACCTGTTGCCTTCTGTTTGCACTCTCGTATTTGTCCTTATTACGAGACATTTTGTACAAATTTCCTAAAGATATAATATTGTTTTAAGTAATTAGTATTGTTAACTAACATTTGTTAATTGTATTTGTGTTATTAACTTATTAATCTTAAAAATTAGGCAGTTAGGCTCGTGTTAGAGACAAAACCCCATTTCAAAAAGTGCTCAATTATTATATATATGATTTAGTTTTGACAAAATGCTATTATTTAATTATTTTTTTATTATTTTATTAAATAAATTATAACCTTTCATAATAACAGCCTGATGGTAAGCGTCTCTGCAAAATATTAATAAAGTTGTTTTATTATTAGTAAACAATGAAAATAATTTTAAGCAAACACAAATTTTTTACAAATAAACCGAAGACAAACAAAACCAAATGAACGCAAACAATCATGAAACAATCGTGCACATACTAAGTCTTCTTACAAAACTATAAGCAAATGTATGGAGTATAATATATAGTACATACTTATGCTATATGCTATCTTTAAGCAGATATATTATATTATAAATGAATCTACCAAATGCAAAATATTACTGCTAAAGCTATAGGACAGCAGCAGTCCAACAATTGGACATGGATATATTATGAATCGATTGAACACAGAATCAACTTTTTAATCAGAGGCAAGTTTTTTTGGTAAGTAAACAAAAGTGATTTTTAATATAAAAAAATTAACAATTCTATTGCAAATGACTTTAATTGAATATTATAGCAAATTACTTGCTTAACAAACAGCTGTAACCGATATAAAAAACACTTCTATAACCTCTATATAATTAAGTTATTATGGTGATCTTAAAGATCCACTTAGACCTCTTGACACATTGTGTTATAGTTTCTATATTATATCGTTACACTTTAAAAGATGCGATTTAGTCGCATATATTGAAGGTAGTTTAATTGATTACTAATGCGTTTATAAATATAAAAGAGAAAATTGCAATATTTTGACTTAAAATATAATATATATTCGCTAACTCACTTGCTAGATATTAATATTCTATATGGAAAGGTTGAACTTATTTTTTAAAAGCAACGTGAAACATATGGCATTCTATTAAAGTGTATGAAAATTGCTTGAGATACACTAGAAACTGGAAATTATTTGTTTTGTTTATGATATTGAAAAGTTCGCGGTTCTTATGACGTTAGTAAAAACAATAAAAGATTTTGAATTTATTTGTTTGATTTTAAGTTCAACAAACTTTATGAGCGAACCCTCGTTTCGATGCAGTGAATGGCGAAAAATGACCCCAAATTCAAGCAGTGCGCAGTAAAACAAAAATTCGGATTGGCGTCAATCAACAAAACACACAAAATATGCTTGCAAACCTGCCTGCATTTAATTTTACCCAATGTTCCAAGTAAATTGCGAGCTTAGAAATCGCCGCCGCAAACGTCTTGAAGTTTTGATTAGGAATACAATCTTCAGAATATATGCAAGATTTATTTATAATCCCTTTATTTAGCAACGCCACTCCAATTTTTTTGTATAGGTACAGCAGCAGCAGCAGTAACAGCAAATTTTCTTTATTCTTTTCCACTAAATTTTTTCTCTTCCTTTAATTTAAATAATTTTCTTAAGAACATTCAATTTAGTAAATCACATTAAATTTGTTTACTATATTTTTTTTTAAATTTTTGATGGAATAATTTAAACTTGAATTAATTCATTTATATGTATATTATTGGACGATTACACTTTTTCGCGTTTAACTTAACCACACTTTGCTTTCCCTCCTCTGTTTCTTAAAATTTTCACTTCAATATAATAGTGTTGTACAACGTTAAAATTAATATATTGTTATTGGTAAAATTCAGTAGCGAAATGACAGTTCAAATTATTAAGCAAACGTTAATTATGCAGCACACAGCTTTATAGCACAATCCTACTGTCTCATTTAGGCGGTTTTGCTCATTATAGCCACTAACAAGAATGATTTACTATGAAAATTTTCACATAAATGAGCTCGTTATTAATAAATCAGCGAAAAATTTATTTAAATATAAATTTAAGGCGAAAAATTTCGAATGCGATTCTTAAAAATAAAATTATTAAAATTTGAAGTGTGTCATTTGTTTTATATGTAAAATGTGAACAAACAGCAGCTGAGATGTAAACAAGGCACTAAGGAAGTAAGAATTTAATAACATCTTTGTTATTATTAAATGATATATAAAATGTATGTAAATGACTTAATATATCAATAGTGTATTTAGGCCGTGTGCGAGTTCGAGTAAATTTATAGTAAATTAAGGAAAATTGTAAATTATGTCGATATGGCAGCGAATGTTGGTATTTACAATAATTTTGAGTAGGGTAAATTAGATAAAAATTATATAAATTAGGTATTACCCTTATAAAAATTTTATAAGATGTTTAATAAATAAATAAATAAATTTGAAAACTTTAATAAATAAGTGTAAATAAGTGCAGTGCAAAAAATCCCTAGGAAACTTTAATTAACTTTACCTCAATTTACTAGAACTGGAACACGACCTTAATTGTTTTGCGTGATATATTATTAAGTTTACAAAAGTTCTCAATTGCATAAATGAGCTCAGTATAATGTGAACATTCAATCATTAATATAAATGAGAAAGTACCTAAATGAGACAGTGTGAATGTACTATACTGGATTCACACCAGAGTTTTGATTGTGATTTAAGCTGTCATGTTTACATTTTTAGCTGTCAATTGTGGTTGCTTTCCATGCAAAATGAAAACTTATTACAGCGAAAATTACAAACAAAGCTCTCGTGTGAATCTAATATAAATAAACATTAAGTCCTTCATTAACTTCATAATATAGTTAGCCGAATACTATCATATTTTAAGTTTAAATTGAAATTTCCTAAGAACTTTTTGCACTGCACTTATGTAAATATTTATTTATTGATTTAATGCACTTATTTATTATTTTTGGTTAAAAGTTTTTAAATTTATTTATTTATTTAGGTTGTGTGCGAGTTAGGCTAAGTTGATGCTAAACCAAATGGGAGATTTTTTGGGATTTTTTGTACTGCACACATTTTGCCATTTATCAACACGTATCGACACATCAATACATTATCGACACAACTTAGAATTTCCCTTATTTAGAACGCAACTTAGCCTAACTCGCATACGACCTTAATAAACATCTTTTAAAATTTTTACAATGGTAATACCTAATTTACTTCGTAAATACCAACATTCGTTGCCATACCGACAAAATTTACTATTTCCCTCATTTTACCATCAATTTCCTCGACCTCGCACACAGCCTAAATATATATAGAAACAAGTAAGACAAAATTGTAAGTTTCTCATATGTTATTTGAAAGTTTGTAAATTTATAATCATCAAAATTTTTGTCCATATTGATATTAATCGACCAATTAGCTAATCTTTTCTTAATCAAACGGATTTAGTTCAAATTCTCTATAGCAGAACAAACTATTATTAAAAAAAATAACATATATTATAATATATATAAATATACAGATAAATGGTTATTTATTTACAAGAATTTCCATTTATATTATATAATTCAAAATTTTAAAACTACATCATTGATATTGACGGTTGATGATGGTCGGATTTCTATATTTTTGGTTTTTTTAAAAACAATTTTTGAATATTGTCTTTGAATATTATTAAAGCTAGTAGCAAAAGAAGTAAAATATTCAGTGTGTGGCTTAACAGCCATTATATGGAATAGAATTATACCTCCATTCTGAGGAAGGACTTTAAGCACAGAGTATAAAAATCTCTTCAAGTATAAATCTAATTAATCAAATGTTTTCGTTTTTAATGACTACTTTGTTTGAATGTAGAAACAATGTTTAATAAAACTAATATATGTATATATATATTTTTAGTTTTAGCTTTAATTATAGCTATGAACTTACAACTGTGTTTCATTATTAAGTAAGAAAACGTAAGTTATTGAAATTCAGATAAAGATACAAATATGTTAAGGAACGAATCTAATGTAAACTTAATATATAAATAATATGTAATACTACCTTAAGTTATTTGAGGTGATTTTAGATGTTTCACTCTAGAGTAATTGATTGACAATAAAATTAATCACTTACCAGAGCACTTCTAGCAATACTACCTTAAGTTATTTGATGTGATTTTAGATAATGTAGCATTCTAGAGTATTTGACTGATCTTCGCCAGAATTGCCCTGTACATTAAACAATACTTCAATTACATTTTGCCACATTTAATGTTTTTCAATCAGTTTTAAATTTTTCAGAAGTAACGCTTCTATGTACCTAGTCTACCCGGTTCATGTTGGCTCTTTCTCACTTTCCCTCTTTACATTGATAACTTGTCCCAATTGATTAAATTTTCAATATAGAATAAGTAGTCAAAAGTTTTATGATCTAGTTTGCGAGGTATTCTATATTTAACGGAATCAAAATTAACTTTTAGATTATTAACTACTTTGGTTCTAATTTTAATTATAGGTAATATGAGTTATCTGGGCAGCTTCAAGATATTGATATAATATTACATATTTAATTTGTCCACATTAAATAAATCATGAACAAAACTTGTGCTGAATGGCTCCGAAAACTACAAGTAACAATCTTCCATTTAGGAGCCGCAAGTATTTTATCTTTATTACAATTTGAATTATAATATATAATAAACGTAGTGCTATTGTTATTGCATTCGAATAATAATGATAGATTTATTACACTGGAAACATCGAGTTGTATTTGAATTTTGTACTTAACGTATTCCATAACATAATAAAGCGAACCTGATTTTGTTGGATCCAATTAGTATATATCGGAACTAATTTCTTTGTGTTGGATTTAATTGGTTTGTACCGGATTTAATAATTTTGTATAATATTGGATCGTATAATTAGGGCTATCCAAAGTACGGCCCGCGGCTTATGTTTGTGCGGCCCGCAACATGTTTTTAATCTATTATAATTTCGCATTATTATTATTACATTATATTACTACATTATTTTTAAATTGAATTTATAACCGTATTTATAATGTTATAATGTATGTATAATAACAACTATGAACGGATGTATTTGTTTCTGCTGCCCTCCAAGCTGCACAGTAATTTGTATTGGCCCGCGATCGCATCTACTCTGGACAGCCCTGGTATAAAGAATGAAGCTAACAAGAACTTAAAATAAATTAAACAATACGGTTATTATAATTTATCAAAATTAACAGCTGTGGATCTGCTTGAAAAAATATTGAGCTGAATGCGGAAATGGCACAAGGTTCGAAGCTTTATTAGTCTAGAGAATTAATATACAAATCCAAAATATTTATGTTTAAAAAAAAAAACTATGCAAATTCGACCTGAAGGGCTAAAGTGAGAGATGTAAGAAAATAATGGGTTTATAAGATATGCCAATTTATGTTCGACCACGTGTAGAAAAAAAATAAATACATAAATAAATTTGCAACAAATAACGTTTGTAATTCAAGCATTTTATTAAAGCCTGAAATTGAAGAAACCTACTTTTTTATTTACATACGTACATTAACATTAAATTAATAACAATACACAAATTAACATAAAAATATATACACTTTCCCTGAAAGAAAGTACTTTTTTCTATAGATATTAAGATATTATAAAATTAAAGGGCATGGGGTCTCCGAAACAAATAAGAAATAATATTTCAAATAATTTTTGTCTCTAAAAATAAAAGAACTTGTGTTTTATTTAAAGCACGCTTGAAGCGCTGGACTGATATGGTTTAATACAGACAATTTTTATATTTTATAAAAAAATTTATTTCTGTTACAAATATGTTTATCAAATTAATATATAAAAGAATTGTAAACATTTAAAATTTATTTAAAATGTATGTACAATTAAAAAATAACGAATACGTAAAATGCCTAAATACAATCATATTTTTAAAATTATTATTCTGCAAATACATTCCAATTATATATATATGCAAAACAGGCTACAATAAATTACATACAACAAATAAATATATACAGACAAAATGTAGTTTGAATAGACTAAATATTAAAGTAGTTTAATTAAAAATAATATTCTTAAATTTAAAATTGTTTATTTTGACTTTTAAAATTATGTACACACCAGGCTTTAAAACTGATTAAATAATAACTGTTCCATGAACAGGGTCTCCGAATGTTAGTTAGAATTTTCCAAGAACTCACTGACATTGATAGTCATTTTTTCATCGTCAGCACTGTCATCATCAACGTCATCCTCATCATCATCAATGAAACTATCTGAAGAGCCTTCATCACCTACATCTGTCATGCTATTAGCACTAGACATTTGCGCAGAAGCACCCGTAATAGCAGTTGAACCTGCAACCGTTGCCGCTGTACCGGTTGTTACGCCGCTTGGTATTTCAATAGTGACAATGCCATTTGCTGTTGTAATACTTTTTGGTGTGCTGGTGTTTTCAGTCCCTTTACTATCACTTTCTGCACCAGATTCGTGTTCTAATTTTTCCTGCTTAAGCATATCCATCACTTCGATTGGAGAACGTACTTCAAAGCCATCAATTGATGAACGGACTTTGTAATGAGTTTTAATGTGTTTCGAAAGATGATCGCTTCGCATGAATTTTTTATTACATTCACGGCACTGGAAACGTTTTTCTCCAGTATGTGTTCTACGATGCCTTTGCAGTTCATCAGATCGAGTAAAGCGTTTTCCGCAAAACATCCATGAGCAAACAAATGGACGTTCGCCAGTATGCCAACGTAGATGGGCTCGAAGATGAGATGTTTTACCATATACTTTGTTGCAACCTGGTATATGGCAGCTATGTTGTCGTTTACGATCGGCATGCTTCTCACCCTCCGTACAGTTTGGGCAGGTGCATGCCACACGCTTAACTCGAGGTTTTATATCTAAACCACCCGTATCATTCACGTTTATATTGACATTTACCGAAGTCTGTGGACCAGTTGTAGATGTGGCTGAGGTTGGTTGCTGCGTTTGCTGTGTAGTCGATTGTGAGATATTTGTATTGGGAGTTGTTGCTATAGTGATTTGGGCTGTTGTATTGGGAGTAGTTAAATTTGCACTGTTAGCGAATTCGGATTTGAGTAAACTACGTGGTGTGTTTGCTATACTGGTGCTGGTTGGAGTTATTGTAAAACTATGTGGTTGGGAGACGGCAGTTATTTGTATTGACGGTGGAATAGAAACTGGTATGGACACTGCATCATTAGATTGTTGGTGTTGGTGTTGATGTTGCTGTGTTTGCTGTGAAATTTGCTGTAATTGTTGAATTTGTTGTTGATTTAGGTTTCCTGCAATACTTTGTGGAACTACCCATTTAATATTTTGTGTAGTTTGATTAGATCCATTACTTACAGCTTCAACCGGTTCTTGTTTAATGTTAGTAATTAAATTTTGAGTAATTTGTGATGGACTTGTTGGCTCCTGTTTCGGTTGTACAGTAGCGCTGATCTGTCCAACGTTTGCTGGTTGTGGAACTTGTGGATTTGTAGGTGCTGTTCCTTGCATTTGTATAGAATTCTGTGCCTGATGTTGTGTTTGTGTTATTGGTGTGGCAGTAATTACTTGCTGAAGATTATTTTGCATATTCTGAGGCAATTGCTGTGCTTGTATTATTTGAACCTGTCCTATTCCGGGTATATTTTGTATTGGTAACGCCTGCAAACCTGGTAACTGTTGCAATTGTATTAAGTTAGGTGCTACCTGACTAACTGCAGTAGGAGTAGCAGCAGTTTGAACTGATGTGGTCGGTTGTGTTCGTAGTTGTTGTAATTGCTGAGCAGGAATTACTGTTAACTGCTGTCCTTGAGCGTTGGTAATTGTTATTGGCTGATTTGTTGGTATTTGTGCTCCCGACTCATTTGCCGAATTAATGGCATTTATGATCTGCTGTTGTTGTATTTGCATTTGCTGTTGTTGCTGCGCTTGTTGTTGAGCAGCCTGTTGTTGTTGATGTTGTTGCTGCGCGGCTGCCACAACGGCAGCTTGTTGTTGCTGCTGTTGCTGATTATTACTGTTTTGATTAGGATTCTGTATGTGTATTATATTAGCATTCGGTGGCAGTTGCGGATATGATAAAGTATTAAGTGGCGCTAACTGAACTTGCTGTATTTGTCCGTTGGGTGTTACAATTTGTGCTATTTGTGTAAATTGCGGAATTATTTGCATTTGCGTTGATGCTGGAAGTGTAGCAGGCATAGGCAGTGCTTGTGGGGGTAGTATATTCGGTAAGGCACCAGACCCTAAAGATTGAATAGGTACGTGGACAGTTTGATATATTGTTTGGCCACCACCTGTTTGTATTGGTATTTGAACCGCAACTGTTTGCTGTAAAGCTGGCGCTTGTTGTTGTAGTGTTGGAGGAAATTGAATAAGCTGTGGTACTGAACTACCAGCGTTTGCAGGGCGTATTTGAATATTTTGTAATGTTTGACCATTTTCCAGTTTAATAGTGTTTCCTCCACTTAAAATGTTATTTAAGTTGCCCAATAACCCATTCGCAGCTGCAACAGTTGTTGGTATTTGGAGATTTGTACCAGGAATCGTTATTGTGCTCGGTAATGTAGTCGAGGTGTTTGTAGCTTGTGAAGCTGTTTGCTGCTGCTGTTGCTGAGATGTTGTTGTTCCGGTATTTGAGGACTGATTTGAATTAGTATTAGATGCCTAAAATAATATTAATATTGATAAATGTAGCTTAGCTTAATAAAATTTTAATGTATAAATGTTATACTTGGTTTTGTTGTTGATGAGCGTGCTGTTGTTGTTGTTGCTGTTGCAAAACTTGTTGTAACTGTTGTTGGTGCGCATTTGCAACATTTGCTACAGGTATTTGAATATTTGTGCCTGGGATTGTAAGGAGCGTTTGCTCAGCACCACCAAGACCAACTGGCAGTTGAACTGCTTGCCCTATGCCTTGTATGAACTGTGGTGCAGGCTGTAATTGAACGGCAGTAGGAGCAGGTGTCGCAGTTGGAGCACGTACTATTTGTCCCGTTGGAGTAATAAAAGCTTGTTGCCCATTAAAATTAACTGCTTGCGCATTTAAATTTGGTATAAATATTGCTTCTTGACCATCAATCGTTACTGTTTGCATAGGCTGAACAATTTGAAACATATTTTGTGGCATACCTTGTGTGGTTTGTGCTGCTTGTGGTGCAGTCGCTTGAACAAAATTCTGTGGTAACTGTTGTAAGTTAATTATTTGTTGTAATGGTGCTCCGCCTGAACTGACTCCAGTAGTAGGCACACCACCCGCATTTACAAAGGTGGCCTTAACTTGTGCAGTAGGCGTGGCCGTCGTCGGAGTCGCTTGAGTAGTATGGTTTCCATTATTCGCTGAGCTATTAACTCCTAAAGCATTCGTTTTATATTGTATCATATTAATTTACAAATTATAACTGCACTTAATTGACTTTGAATTATGGCTGAACTTTTTTTTCATATTCCATGAAATTTTTTTCTATACACCTACAGTATTATCACCATTTGATAGTAAACATATATTAACGTACTCTACACAAGAAATGTTTTTTTTAAGTCACCAAACAAATACGTCTTCTATATTTTTTAACACATTTATCGTTGCAATATTTATTTTAATATTTAAAAACACAATTTTTACTCCAATAAATTGTTTACAGTTTTTGGTCGGCCATTATGGAAAAACTTTTATTGGAATAGTGGTGCCATACACTTAATTGTCAAATACGTACCAGTGCTACCCAACACATAACATTTGTTAAACCTCCCGTACATGGTTAGTCTGTATCATCACTCACATCGTGTGTGTTTTGCATCGTCTCTTATACACGTATTCAATACAACAAAGTTTAACAATTCGTTACTAATTTTTAAGAATGAATGATGATGAAAATAATTTTCAAAATCTATAGCTGCTACTAAATAATAAATACTAACAGCTTAAATAAGTTTTAAATATAAAAATTGAAATTTTAACATGTTATATTTGGCGTCAAATATGTTATGTGTTGGTAATTAAAGAAAAATCAGTACTGTTTAATTTTCTTTTATTTATCGATTATAATTCTTAATTAAAAGCGTCGTTTTAATATACATTATATATTGTAGTATAAGACCACTCATAAAAATATGTGTATATTCAATGACAATACTAAAATAGGTGTTCACAATATTTGTAAACCATTTCATCGTTTATAAAGAAAAGAACATCTAAAATATGCAAAATTAGAAAATAAATATTTTAAATATATATATATATCAAATTTTTTACGAGTACTTAAAGAACGTATAATTAAAACGCGGTTTAAAATTTTTAACTCAATAGTTGCTAACAAGTTTACTCTTATTAATGAATAAATATTCTAAACTATTTTTAATTTTGTTATAAAAGGAAATTTCAAAATTTCCTGCGTTCTGAACATTGCTTTTAATTCATTATTCATTTTAATTTTTAATTTTAGCTTTATTATTTATTATCATACAAAATGTAGTTTGCTTGCATTATGTGCGCATATATAAGATTTGCTTTTTGCGTAAACACAACATTCGCTTAACGCTTATAGTAACTTGCTATTTTTTGCCACACTTAAAAGCTACCGAAAGCACTTTATAATAGGTTGTAACGTTGTAATAGGTGTATTCTTTAGGCATGAATACTTCACTATTACATGTGTTGCTTAAAAATTAACATGCAAAGCAAAAACTAAATTCGCCTTCTTTGCTAAAAGTGCTTAACAAATAAGCCTCTCCCACTACAATGGTGCCAAATTTAAAATTGATCTATTTTGAATGATTTTTGGAAGAAAATGAAAATAAACAGTTAGCTGTTTATTGTTTACAACAGTAATTTTTTAATAAAATTTGTGAAAATTATTGACAGGTTAGTAATTGTGAAGAAGTTAATTATTTATTAAGGAATTTTTCATTTCTGTGTTCATTAAAAAGTGCATGAATAAATATAAAATGAAATCTTTAAAATAAAAATATAAAGTTATAAGACAATTTTAAGAAAAAACAGTTTTAAATAACGCTAATTTAGCATTAACTAGTGATGTTAGAAGGTTGAAATGTATATTAACGAATTTATTCACGACTTCGTATTGGCTATATATATACTTATACAAAAAACTTTTATATAAAATTCAAACGCAAATTTGTTTGAATGTTTTTTATTTGTTATATGTTTACTGGTTTATGCAGTGATGCCAAGTTATTCTTGATCATCATTGGGGCATTGGAGCAAAAAATACACCTAATATATATGAAATGTCATTGGTATAGATGATATATATATATGGTAACCCTCGCAAAATGTTTACAGCTGATTTTTATCTATTTCACTTTGTCGATTTGTTCTTACCAAAATCGGCTTGCTTAGAGGATGCATAATTAGTAAACAACACAAAATTTTGTTAAAAGAATTTGATGAAATGTTTAGGATTCGAAGACGTATCGCGATAATAGTTTGTGCTACTTGTATCTTATTATTTTTAAGTTTTTACTTTTTTATTAATTATGCAGCGCCGACGGAAGAAAAACAGGTAAATTTGGCTTCGGCCTAAAAGAATAGTTCTTCTGCTTTCCATATTGATTGACCACCAACTGTGAAACGTGGCTTGCTTAGTAAGATCATTTGTATCCTACAATAAACTAATTTAATGTTTGCGAATAAGTGATCTAATATTTACCTTTTTACCAAACGTGTGCTTTGGAATAGAGTCTTAAAATATTAATAATATCTAAATTAAATTTTTACATAATGTTTTATGTTCAATTCAAATGCTAAAATTGATTCCAAAAATAATATTACATTTAGTCGAATTTTGGCGCAATTGAATTAAAATTGCAGGAATTGGAAACGGGTCTAAAGCGTCATGGACAAGAAATGCGTCATCTTAAAAACAAGATTGAACGTAATCTCCAAGACAACATGATTGTAAAAGACGAAAACTTCCAGAAATATATTGATGTGGCTGCAAAAACAGGGAGAACTTCACCTCCAGAATGCGCGTTTGATACACAATTAGCGCCGCAGCCAGATGTGCAGGTAATATTAAAATTTAATCTTTACATATTATAATATAAAATCTATTATATATTTTTTTTTGCTTTAGATGTTAGATCTTTACGAAAAGATGACGTTTACCGATATTGATGGAGGTGTTTGGAAGCAGGGCTGGAATATTAAATATGATCCATTACAATTTAATGAACATCATAAGTTAAAAGTTTTTGTAGTGCCACATTCTCATAACGATCCTGGTATTATTTTCCAACTAGCACTTAAAAAATGATTTAATATTTATCTGCTTTTAGGCTGGATAAAAACATTTGAAGATTATTATGAACACGATACCAAGCATATTCTCTCCAACGCACTACGCCATTTACGCCAAAATCCGGATATGAAATTTATTTGGGCGGAAATTTCATATTTTTCACGTTTTTTTGAGGATTTGGGACACAAAAATCGAGAAGAATTTAAAAAGTATATAATACTCTTAATAAAAAATTTTGCTTTAAAATTTTATGTATTCATTTACTAGATTGGTACAAGGTGCACAGTTTGAATTTGTTACTGGTGGTTGGGTTATGCCAGATGAAGCCAATTCCCATTGGATTAGTATTTTGTTGCAGTTAACAGAAGGACAAACTTGGTTAAAAAATACATTCAATATAACTCCTTCATCTTCTTGGTCCATTGATCCATTTGGCCATAGTCCCACTTTGCCTTATGTATTAAAAAAATCTGGTTTCAAAAATTTATTAATACAACGTACTCATTACTCAGTAAAAAAAGAATTAGCTTCAAATAAAAATCTTGAATTTAACTGGAGACAGCTATGGGGTAATAATTAAACATAACAGTGTTGCTGACTTGTAACATACTCGTAATATATAACTTACAGATGACACAGGTGATACGGAATTGTTCACTCATATGATGCCATTTTATTCTTATGATATACCACATACTTGCGGACCTGATCCTAAAATTTGTTGCCAATTTGATTTTAAGCGCATCCAGGGATTCGGTCTTTCATGTCCTTGGCGTGTACCACCTCAGCCGATTTCTGAACAAAATGTAGCACAAAGGTATATATTGTGGAAACTGTTTTTTATTCAGATTTATTTTTCTAATGAATATCTATCGTATGTAGAGCTGAAATGATCGTTGATCAATGGAAAAAGAAAGCCGAACTATATCGCACAAATGTTGTACTAATTCCACTGGGTGATGATTTTCGTTATAGTCAGAGTACAGAATGGGAAGTGCAACGTATTAATTATGAATCACTTTTTGAGTATATAAACGCTGAGCGAAATCTTTTTGTGGAAGCAAAATTTGGCACGTTGCAAGAATATTTTGATATGGTGCAGCAGGAAAAACGTGATTTTCCTACATTAAGTGGTGATTTCTTTACATATGCTGACAGAGCTGATAACTACTGGAGTGGGTATTATACCTCTAGACCATATCATAAACGCATGGATCGTGTATTATTGCACTATGTTCGATCAGCAGAAATGTTAACTGCATGGAGTGCATGGGATGATGAAAGTAATTTTAAAGAAAAGTTGCTTGATGCGCGAAGAGAATTATCTTTGTTTCAGCATCATGATGGAATAACTGGAACCGCAAAAAATCACGTAGTAGCCGATTATGCGCTACGATTAATGAATGGCATAAAAGCATGCCGATTTGTAATGCAGCAAGCCGTTTATAAGTTATTGACTAAACCAGCTGTAAGTAACTTCTATATAAATATTCTATATTGTCATAGTAATATATTAAAAATCTATTTAGATTTATAATGTTGATTACAAATTCACTTACTTTCACATGGACGATTCCCGCTGGCCCGGCCCAGATGACAGTCGAACAACAATTATACTTGGTGACGAATTGCCTAGTAAACATGTTGTGTTTCATAATTCTCTTCCGCAATGGAAGGAGGAACTTGTTGATTTTTACGTTTCTAGCCCATTTATGACTGTTATGGATTTTGACAATAACCCTGTGCATGCTCAAGTTAGCCCCGTATGGACTTGGCACCGACATATACAAACAAACATAATAACTCCTCAGGCATCAACCACAAAATACCGTTTAATTTTTAAAGTGAAAGTACCACCTCTTGGTCTGGCAACGTATATAATAAATATTAAGTCTCCAGACGCAAAATTAACGTAAGTATACTGAAAATATGAATTGTGGCTCACTTTGAGCCATTAATTCAGCTATTCGAAGTATAGTGGATATATTTTTGTTTTTATTTTGTTTTTATATTAGTTATACTACCTTAGCTACGAATCTCATATTGAATACTAATCCAATATCTGTGAATCTCGGAGACTATCAGCATGAAGTCAAATTTGGTGAACATCGCGAAATCTCACTGCGAGTAGGTGATGGACCTAAAGTTACTTTTAGTGCTGATGGTCTAATGAAATCTATACAAATTGATGAACTCGTATCGAATACTCCAATACACTTAAAATTCTACAAATATGGCACTCGAATTAATGGTGATCGCTCTGGTGCTTATCTCTTTATACCAAATGGTCCAGCTACACCTTTTCTTAATGT